CGGAAGTGGGTCCGAGATGAGGTGACGAAGCACGCGCTGTAGCAAGCATGCTCCCGCCGTCTCGGATCGAGCTTCGCGCCATACTGTAGCCCCATAGCCCGGGGGGGGGGGGGGGGGGTTGTACAGTCATGTGTGTGTTGTGCTCTGATTCTTTCGGCAACAATGTCCAGCTTAAGGTAAGGTAGGGTAAATTTCTCCACACACACCACAAGGTGGTGGGGCAAGAGGGGGCGACCCTCGCATCTCCACACCCGGACACGGGTAGGAGCCCCACGGCATTCAAAGTGGTAAGTGCACGCAATAAAACCACCCCCGCCTCAACCGTCTCAGGGACGGACGCATTTCCCCCCTTTCAAAGGCGGTTTCGAAGTTGATGAGACCTCGTCCCCCCCTCTCCAATGAAAAGCGTGAAAAGAGGCGCGGAACAGGCCGGAAGCGCCGCTTGGACGTGGGTCACACAATGGCAGCGCTCCAGACGCGCTCTGGTAGCTGCCAATGAAGCCGTAGCCCATCGCGCGCATGCTGGACGGCCTCTGCACCTCTACTGCAGTGCCCTCCTGCACCGAGCGACGCGTCAAACCTTTGTTGCTGCCCATGACCGCCGGCGGCTCCGAGTTCGGGCGAGCGAGCCCTGGCTGAGCTGAGCCTCTGCGGTCGCAATGCAGCGCTGCGGTCGGTGCAGAGTGGCCGTGCGGGTACGGCGTCGTACGCGCACGGCCGCTCTGCCTCAGTGGCGTGCGGCTTGGGCCAACTGAGGTCGCTCTCCGACCTCGCTCGCCGAGCTCACAACCCGGCGCGAGCCGCATCGAGTGGAAGTTCGACTTCAGCTGCCGCGAGCGGATGGACTGCCTTGTCGAGTGCGAGCAGTTGGGCTCCGCCGGGAGCATGAGGTGCAACACGTTCTCTGGGCGCCAGCAGACGCGAGCGCGCGAGCGCGTGTTGAAACCGGACGCTCCATAGCAACACTCAAGATACACTCCAAGGGGGGTACACGTTTTTTTATTCGGGTTCGGGGCCCAAGAGTACACTCTTGGCGACGAAACCGAAGAGGGTTGGCCCCGGGGTGGTTTTATCGCGTAGTAAAGTGTCGAGTGTCAGAGTGTCGGAACTCGGTGGGACGACTCATTCATGTTCACACACTCGCTCGGAAAAGTGAAATTTTGTTTCACATGAAATGTGAAGTGAAAGTGAAAGTGAAATCGATTCGCTGTTTCCATGTGAAATCACGAACCCTCGCCCGCCCACCACTTGCGAGCACAAATATCACACCTCCACTGCCCTCGCCTCAGGCGGCGACGGACGGACATCCAAGGCTCGAACGGCGGCAGCGGCTCAACGGCCACCGGCGGCCGTCGTGCGTGTGCTTTCGCCATACGTGGCGCACCCCCCGGCGTCTGCTCTGGTTTGGGGGCGGGGGGAGGACTCTCATTTGCGGACTGTTGGGCTCTCTGTGTTGAACTGGGGCTTGTGCGCGAACCCCACCAGTCTGGCCGAGCGGCACGCCGCCGCTGGGGGCGTGAGAAGGCCGTGGGGGACGGTGGCGGACCCCATTCTTCGATATAGAATGGGCCCTCACCGCGGCCCGTCTGCTGCTGAAAATGTGGCGTGTTGGGGGCTCTCCTGTGTGACTCCTCTGGCTCACCGCGTTAAAGTGGCGCCTGTGTGTGACCAACCCCAACCCCGACAAGCGCCCCCCGGCCGCTGGCGTAGAGCTGTCAAACGTTAAGAGCTGAACAGTGTTGCTAGTGTTAACAGTAACAACAGAACAACAGTGGGGCTCCCCAACAACAGTAGCTAACGTTAGGCCAGCTGAACAGCAATAAGGAAGGCCTGGCAGTGACCCACGACGATCTCCAGCGTCCAGTGCGGGTAATACCCGAAAATACCCGGAAAATCCCTAGGTATTTTCGGGTTTTACCCGGGTTTTTTGGCATTTTCTGCTTGCTGATCACTGAACAACAGTAACAACAGTAACAAACAGTAACAGCTTGGGCTGGGGAGAACACTTGAACAACGTTGAGGATTTTCAGCCAACAATAGTGCAACTGTTAGGCCCAAAGTTAACGTTTGACAGCTCTACCGCTGGGGCTGCGAGGCGGCCGGGTGAGCGCGCGCGAGACGCCATTCTAGATGTAAGGATGCCATCCTATAATATAGAACGGCCAGGTAGGGCTGAGACCGTTGTGCGCGTCCATTGGTCTGTTTGCGAGATAAAAGAGAGGGGCGTACCCGCCTGACATCTGCTCCGGCGGCGGCAATATGAAGGCTGTGTGGAACGCGCACAACGACAAGGGTCCAGGCTCGCCGGGCAGAAGGGGCGGGGGCGTGCGGGGCAGAGGCCCAACGTCGGGCGGCCTGTCGGGGTCCGGAGGATTCGAGGCGGGAACGAGGAGGGGGGGAATGGGCGGTCGGCGTCGGGGTAGAAGCCGCAGGGCGTACGGGGTAGCCGTCACTTTCCCGCCTCGAAAGGGCGGGGTCCCGGAAAGTGAGAAACGCCGGGCAGCGTGGCGCATTACTGAACCCTCCCATACGTGTTTGAGGCTCCTCCTTTGCTGTCCCATCTCCTCATCTCTTTCCCGCCTGGGCGGGGCAGCGGGTGGGCGCGCGGTGCGGCGTGGCGTGTGAGTGTGTGCGACTGCAACG